TCAGGGACCTTAGCCATCAGTTGCTGCTGACATGGCCCTCCTTGTCCTTAGCTTGTACTGTAAATACCTGTACCTTTAAATGGCAATGTGGTAGAGAGGCTGAAAGCATGGGACAGCCTGAGGTTGAGTCCCAACCCTGCCACTTACTAGCTCTGTGATTCTAGGCAAGTTACTTAACTTCTGTATGCCTTGATTCCTTCATCCGTAAAACGGGGACAAGAAAAAACATTGTCTACCTTGTTGGGCGGTCAGCACTGCCTGGTAAACTTGTGGGGTGTGGTGGAGAGGATTTGGGTCCCTTCCATGCCACCTGGCAAGCTAAGAGAGATGGCTTCCTTCTGAAGTTTTCAGTGGAAAGTGAGGCACGTGATAAACACCCCCCCCCACACACACACACACACACACAGATCCTCTCTCTGAGCTTCCCTCTCTACTTCTCTGTAATTTCTATCCCTCCTGATGCCTCTTCTCAACCCAGATCTTTATCCTAAGAGGGTAAGTAGGACTTTTAAACCTGACCACTTGCCTCTGTCTACCCTCTACTTACACCCATAATTCCTCTTTTCTAGCAAAAGGCTTTCTTGTTCTGTTTAGTGGGAACTTAACATAAATCGCATACTAAGTTCTCTCTGTCTAAGGCTTAAAGTAGAACTTTGTAATGAGACCTCCCTGCTTTGCTCTTGATATGTAAGGGGAATTCTTAGAATATAGAAATTCCTTTTTTCTTCCAGTTAGGCTGATGTCACAACTCAGGAGACTCAAGAAAGTCAGCTCTGAGATTCAGAGCTGACCAGTCACCTCTTTATTTTGGTGTTTTATATCCTCTCTGTGAAGCGGTGAGTGCTATACACAGCCCTCTTTATTTCTCTGCGATTTCTACCCCTCCTTGATTCCTATCCTCAACCCAAGGAAAAGCCCCAGTAAAACAAGGTTTATGGGAGAAAACAATGCTAGAAAAATTTTCAAAACATCTACACTATCTACAAAGAGCAGGAGCTCTAATTTCTTGAACACTTGGTATGTGTCAGACACTGTGCTGGCTCATTTATTTGTTTGTTTGTTTATTTATTTATGGCTGAGTTGGGTCTTCGTTGCTGCACGTGGACTTTCTCCAGTTGTGCCGAGCAAGGGCTACACTTGGTTGCAGTGCACGGGCTGCTCATTGCGGAGCATGGGGTCTAAGCATGCAAGCTTCAGTAGTTGTGGCTCGTGGGCTGTAGAACACAGGCTCAGTAGTTGTGGCACACGGGCTTAGTTGCTCTGCAGCATGTGGGATCTTCCCAGACCAGGGCTCGAACCCGTGTCCCCTGCACTGGCAGGTGGATTCTTAACCACTGTGCCACCAGGGAAGCCCTGGACTCTTTTCATATATTCTTTCAATTAATCATCACAAACATTATAATCATCCCCAACTTACAGATAAATAAACTGAGTCTTAAAGATATTAAATACTTGTTGAATGACACACAGCAAATAATGAGCAAAGATGTCTGACATCACAATCACTGTGCTGTTTTGCTTCATAGATAAGCAATGAGATGGAGTAAGAGTGATGTGGTGAGCCTACATGGTCCAGGGCTTGGCTGCTAGCTCGTGTCAGGGCTTCACGGAAAGGGGGATACAATTCTGGATAATATGAAAGAAGAATTTGGATCTTTTGGGAGAATCCAAAAGGGAGAGGATAGGGAAGGATAAATGGTTAAGATGACTGAATGCTCTTCGCTGTGACCACATCCCCAGCTCTCCCCCGAATCATCAGGGAAGGTCATGAACATCAATGAAATTCTTGGTGCTCTTCAAGGCTTTATAGAAACATTAAAAACTGTTTAGTTCTGCACCCAGGTGGGTGTGGGGATAAAATAGGAGTCAGGTTGCTATGGAGGAGGAGGGGAAGTAGAAAGAATTACGTCCAAGGGAGTTTGATGAAACCTGGGGGAGGATTACTTTGAGCTTTCTCCAGCCTCTGAATGTGTCTTCTTTAAAACGGCCTTTTATAGTCTCAGCTAAGGTAGCAGCTCACAGACCTTTCAGAGCTGGGGTCAGGCCCTTGTACCTTCACTCCCAGTGTTTAATTTGAGGGAACTTATGCCCCCTGTAATAGGAATTTTAGGGTCGGCAGAATTCGAGGTTTACGTCTTTGTGGGGTTGTGCTTCGACCAGGGGACTTAAGTGTTACACTGAACCTAAAGCTACTGCCAAGGGTTATTTTGGGCTCCTCATGTAGGTGGACCAACAGGCCAATAATCAGTTGTTGTACTGGTGTTAATTGACCTTGATCATCACAGAAGGGAACAGCTGCTGTTACAAAATATCAATTAAAGCCTCAGCAAAGGCTGAAGCTATGGGGACTGTAATTCATTTCACTCATCTTCCCATTTATAAGTCCACTTAGAGACCATGGCCTTCAACTACCTTGAGCCATCAGTATCAGAGCTGCTCAGTGTGGGGCAGGGGTACTCTGAGCAAAGCCAGGACTGGGGGACTGTAACAGGCAATGTCCCACCATGTCTCCTTGGCACTCATCTGGCCCCACAGCTACAGGACAGTGGCCTTCCACACTGACAGCTTCCCAGCCCAAATGTCTGTCTCTCTGCCCCTTGACCTGAGACCTTTGCCTGGCGCCATGGGTATTTGCTTAGCCTGCACACAGGAGAGTTCAAACGTGCTGGGATTTAAACCCCAGAGCAAATATCAACAATAAAGGACAGCAGCCGTTGGATAAATAGCCCAGCCGCCCTGTCCTGCAGTAGAAGTACATTGAGGTGCATTCTTTTTTTTTTTTGCGGTACGCGGGCCTCTCACCGCTGCGGCCCCTCCCGTTGCGGAGCACAGGCTCCGGACGCGCAGGCTCAGCGGCCACGGCTCACGGGCCCAGCCGCTCCGCGGCATGTGGGATCCCCCCGGACCGGGGCACGAACCCGCGTCCCCTGCATCGGCAGGCGGACTCCCAACCACTGCGCCACCAGGGAAGCCCAGAGGTGCATTCTTCACAGCTCCTCAGCGATCTTGAGCCCCAAGTCAGTGATGTGACTATAAACACATGCTTGATTGTCGTTTATCCTAAGCTCTTCTACTCTGCTCATTCCTTCATTGGTGCTTCCTGAGATCACCTCCCAAATAAACTACTTACCCCCAGTCCTTGTCTCGGGAATCCAAACTAGGGCAGTGTGCCATGACAAAGGGTTCTCTTGTCAAAAGCTCCTCTTGGGCTTCCCTGGTGGCGTAGTGGTTGAGAGTCCGCCTGCCGATGCAGGGGACACGGGTTCATGCCCCGGTCCAGGAAGATCCTACGTGCCGCGGAGCGGCTGGGCCCGTGAGCCATGGCCGCTGAGCCTGCGCGTCCGGAGCCTGTGCTCCGCAACGGCAGGGCCCACGGTGGTGAGAGGCCCGCGTACCGCAAAAAAAAAAAAAAAAAAGCTCCTCTTGATGACTTAGAATTCATTTTAGCACCTTAATAGCTCTGAAATTTGTATTGTAATAAAAAACAAAAAATAAGGCAAAATTCTTTACACTGCATTTACCACTGTATTTCTCTAGCATATTTGTGTATGGTTGAAAGAATGGACTTTGGAATCAAACCAACCTGGTTTAATGACGGCTCCATTATTTACTTTGGAGTCACTCACCTCTCCTAAGCCTTTGGATCCCAAACTCTAAAATTGAGGTAATAAAGTAACTGCCTAAATGGATTATTGTTAAGGTAAAAATAAATGCCTGGTACATAGTAAGAAAGTGATAAAACGTAGATGTTACCGCAGTTACGTGACTATAGCATCTTTTTTAGTAACAGCCATTAACATCTGGAACACAAGTATTTTTTGGAGCTTTTTGTATGTATTTCTCTAGGGAAAATCAACCTCTCATCTTGTGCTTAGAATATTAAATCATGATTCTATGTGGTGACTTTTCTTCTACGAAAGTTTTAAAGGCATTTGTAGAACTCAAAAGAAAAAAAGCATTTGTATCAGTTAATTCCTGCAAAGGAGAAGCCTGTGTTGAACATGTAAGCTTGGCGTGGAATATAAGCCTTGGAAGCTTCTTTGAGGATTCTCATTTTGTCCACGTTTCCAAACTTCTTTGTTCAGTGAAAAAGGTGTTTCAGGAGAAAGCACTGTGTTTTTTTTAATTTAATTTTTATTTTATATTACACTATAGTTGATTAACAATGTATTGGTTTCAGGTGTACAGCAAAGTGATTCAGTTATACACATACATATAACCATTCTTTTTCAGATTCTTTTCCCATATAGGCTATTACAGAATATTGAGTATACTTCCCTGTGCTATACAGTAGGTCCTTATTGATTATCTATTTTATATATAGTAGTGTCTGTATGTTAATCCCAAACTCCTAATTTGAAAGTTTTGTGTTTTAACGTGTAGAAGTTGTCTACACCGGGTCTGCCAGTCCTAACTCATGCTGTGATGACTCACCGCCCAGGTTGAGGAAAAGATCGGGCTGCTCTGTTACCAAAACATAGGGCCACAAACAGTGCTTTCCTCGTGGATGACCTGTGAAAAGAAAAACTACAGAAGACAGGCTGCCTTGGGCTTAACATCACCCCATTCTTCGTTCATTTCCTAAAGCAGCCCTAAGATTACACAGCTATAAATTCTGAAAAGTTTTCTAATCTCAGAACAAAAACCTGTCAAGTAAAAGAACATGAACAACTAGGCATGTTTTATACACAAATCCCTTAGTACCAAACAGGCTGAATTGAGACAACTCCAGTGGAAGCCTAAAGGCAGGCTGTCTGCTTGAAATGACTTTCCCGTAACAACTCACCTTTGCCGTGGGACAAGGACAGTGCCAATCTACGCAAGTGTGAAAGTCGCGGCTCTTCCAATGATTCTCAGAGAATCCCACCAGGACAATTAGGCTAGGAATTAGCCAGTTAGAGCCAGAAGCTTATTGTTAATCTGCTCAGTCAGGAGGTGCAGAAGTAGCATTCTGAGCTGAGGAACTTCAATGCAGCATTTCTCTCTTTTCTTTTTGTTTATTTTAACATGGCATAGTTTCCCTTGAGGTACCTGTGTTTGCGGCACATGTGGATAGAAAAAGACAAATCATTTGACTCGGTTTCAACTTAACTGGTGATGTTTCCAGATGTTGAATTTACCCTTTAGTGTGTTCACCTGGTACTAAGTCCCTGATGCCTCTGTGTTTCTGAGCCTTATAGAAGTTATTGATACATCTGGGGAGGGAGGTGTGCAGAGGGGATGGAAGAAGGCATGGCTGACTGCTTAAAACTATTCTGGTAGTAATTTTCATTCATACCAGAGCTCCTCTTTGGAGTGAGGGCTATTCCACTGTGGCGTTGGGATGCCCTGATCCCACAGCCAGGGCTGCCCCTGGTGGGGCTGTGCAGCTGTGTCCTGCACGAGGGCACCCAGCCCAGATTGCTCCTGGTGGGAGGCTGCATCTGTTCTTTTCCTGAGTTGTAACAGCCCTACTGGGAAGATCCCTCCAGAGTGAGGGCCGGGAGGCTGATGTACAAAAGCGGTTTGTGTTTGTTTGGTGTCAGCCGGGAATTCATTTTATCACACTGATATCTCTAGTCTTGAGACCCAATTTCTGACCTGCTAGACATCTTCAGAAGAGGAAATTATTCCAATGGTAAATTCTGTCAACATGAAATTAATCATGGCAAATGCCGGCCTCCTATACACGCTTCAGTTTATTAACCTTCTACATCTGCACTGAAACCAGTTTTTCTCTTTGTTGTTGTTACTAAAAAAGGGTTAGGTACTGAGATGTTGCTTGACCAGGAATTGAGTGAGGTGTAATTTGAAAATATGAATTTTCACAGAAGCATTTCAATTTAAAAATAGCCGCTGAAGAGAAAGCATAGAACAGGGAAACAGAGGATTCGCACGTGAAACTTGGTTTCAAAGTCTCACTCAGCAATTTACTTTTAATGATTAAGTTCAGAGTTTCCAAGTGAGTACCCTCTTGAAAGTAACTTATTCAAAACCAGTTGATACTAGCAGGTTAGTTCCCTTGAATCTTTGTACGGGAAAAACTAGCTGAGCAAACCATTATACAACTGTCTATTATGATTATTTGATGACTTACTATCACTAAGGCAATCTTAAGCCATTTAAATCAACAGGATTCCATTTCTTCACCAGAGAACTATCTTTAAACACACAGACACACAGACACACACACACACACACACACACACACACACTTCTGAGTTTTCCTTTATTTCTGCAGCTGGAGAGAGTACGTTGTTAAAATTTACAGCAAAACCCAGAATAGTACAAGTGGAACATCATTAGTGGGACAGAATCTGAACCTCTTTTGATTTTCCTTTTTGGCTTTCTCTTTCCCACACTTCAGGTGTGTTATACTCATGTCTGCCACACCCCGAAAACACACCCAGATACTTACCAGAATTGAGAAATCCAGGAACAATGCACTGGAAGAATGACAGGGCAAGCCAAGCTCACTGAAGAATAATCTCCAAAGGCCAAGGGCTCTGATCATCCAGCAGTGGGTCCCAAGCCCGGTCTGTCTTCAGGAATTTTAAAATCTGAAACCACTCTACAGAGATAAGATAAAGCCATCTTTTGCCCCCCAAGAAACCTGTTTTTAAAGCTCTGTTGCAAAAATAACTGTTGCAGAAAGATCAAGGAAAAGAGAAGAGATTTCAAAAGAGAGAGCTGGCGCTGAATCTCTTCACCCCAGCGTCCTAGCAACCTGCTCCTGCCCGTGGCAGAACCATTGGCCACAGTTTCAATTACATCCTTACTGCATAATTGTAGAAATATTCTCGTTCAAAGTCATCGCTTTTTCAGACCAATTTAGATGTCAAAATTGTTTGAATTCCTATCATGGTTTTACTGGTAATACTTTGTAAATTTATTTATTTTATTTTTGGCTGCATTTGGTCTTTGTTGCCGCGCACGGGCTTTTCTCTAGTTGTGGCGAGCAGGAGTTACTCTTCATTGCGGTGCGCTGGAAGGGAATGAAGTCTTAGGACTATTAAAAACGTTTATTTGTATCTTCTACCTAAATTAAATCAAGGAGTTGGAGTTTACATAATTGCCTCTAAGGAAACAATGTCTTCCCCAAATGGGACAAGCTTCACTCACGTCATTCTATTTTATTTGAAAGTTTGTGGACTGAAGGTGGAGGGTTAAGTAATTAATAGATTTGTGATTTAAAACATTTTTATGGTTAAAAAATTATATATTTTTATATATATTTTAATCTATATTTCAGATTAAACATTTGTACAAAAATTTAAGGTAGGGCTTCCCTGGTGGTGCAGTGGTTAAGAATCTGCCTGCCAATGCAGGGGACGTGGGTTCGAGCCCTGGTCCAGGAAGATCCCACATGCCACGGAGCAACTAAGCCCATGCGCCATAACTACTGAGCCTGCGCTCTAGAGCCCGTGAGCCACAACTACTGAAGCCCGTGCACCTAGAGCCCGTGCTCTGCAACGAGAAGCCACTGCAATGAGAAGCCCACATACCGCAACGAAGAGTAGCCCCCCTCGCCGCAACTAGAGAAAGCCCGCATGCAGCAACAAAGACCCAACGCAACCAAAAATAAATTAAAAAAAAAAAATTAAGGTAAAACTGGGGGTTATGTATTCACTTTCCTCTCCTGACAGTACTTGAGTGATGATGTAGGAAAGTGAAAAGGAGCCCTTCTTCCATGCATTTCTTTTTCTGATCAGGAATATTCAGTGTCACAAAAGCCAAAAGGATGAGATATGGTGTATCTATACTGATATACTCTATGTTCTATGTGAATATCATGTGTTCACTGTGTTTTCTTCTGTAATACGTATTTCAAAATATCCTTTATACAACAATGAAGATGCACAGCATTCTATACTGTATAGTGTATACGGTATAGTGTATGGATGACTCTATTGTTTTTTAAAACTTATACTTCAGTTAGGACCAGTAATCTGTAGTATCAAAGCAGCACATTTTAGAAAGTCTAAAAATTAGTGCTTAGGAAAGAAGATGAAAGGGTTTTTCTTTACAATGCCCACTCCATCAAGACTGGCCCCTCTAGGAAAGTCTTATCTTGAGAGTCAAAATAGGCCCTCTTTTGTATGCTAATTTTACTATTACTTGTTAATATGTTTGTCTTTGTATCTAAAACTGTGATGATAATATCCGTCTTATAATTTGTTCATAGGACTTGAGAATTTAAGAGGCTAAAACTATCAGTAATATAATAAGTTCCTAAAAAAAAAAAAAAAGACTGGCCCCTCTAATATCAGCCACACCCCTGGGATGATTTGGAAAATGGCTCCTACCTGTGATGTTCATGAAGTCATGACTCAGGAAGTAAGGGTCCAAGCACAGAGAAGTGCCCAAAAGAAGATAGTCGAACCATGAAAACCCAACACAGTGTGAACTGTGTTTCTCACACATGGTGCAGTGAGATACAGAGATCCTAGAAGATTTTTTTAATTCCCTTTTTCTCTTTCCCATTAATTTCCTTCATCTTCCTCTCTCACCCCCAATTCTCTCTGAAGAACCAGCCCTCACCCAGGCCTAGTCCTTTACACTCCGGCCCGCCATGCTTCTCCATTATACAATAAAATGCCCCCAGAACACACAGGCAAGGCAGAACCCTCCCTGGAGTTTGGAGAATTAGAAGGGGTTGAGAGACCCATACAGACACGATGGAAGGAGAGGGAAGCCTGGAATCCTCATATGGTATCAATACCTACTGGACTATGCCTTACTGCATCAAACAGTACTGCGGGCTTCCCTGGTGGCGCAGTGGTTGAGAGTCTGCCTGCCAATGCAGGGGACACGGGTTCGTGCCCCGGTCCGGGAAGATCCCACATGCGGCGGAGCGGCTGGGCCCGTGAGCCATGGCCGCTGAGCCTGCGCGTCCGGAGCCTGTGCTCCGCAATGGGAGAGGCCACAACAGTGAGAGGCCCGCGGACCGCAAAAAAAAACAACTGTATCGCAACACAGTGTGTTTTGTATATATAATTACCGTTGTTATTTACTAGCTGTCTGACCTTGAGAAAATTACTTCACATTCCTGTGCTTCCATTTCTTCTCTGAACAATTAAGATCATTAAGCTCATATCAGAGGGTCTAGGCCAGGTTTACATGGGTTAGTACATGGGAAGCACTTAGAGCATGCTACTTAGGAAGCATGGCCATCATCTTTGGGTTCTTCCACTCTGTAAGTTTCAGGTGGCAGCCTGGTGGGGGCATGGGAGGCCAGGCCAACTGGTGAACTCCTCATGGGGCAGACCTCTAACTAATCCCCCTGATTTACACCCTCCTCCTTTCCCAGTCCTACTTTTCCCTGCCAGCATCAAGCTTGGCACTCATCAAGCAGCACAGCTGTTACTTGCCTGACGGCCAGCTTGAGTTTATCCTGGGTGGCAGCTCCAGTGCTATGTTGACAATGTCACTCATTTTTCGTCTTCCAGAAATTTGACAGAATCTGTGGTCAGCTGATAACATCCCTCTTTGGTTATGATTTATTTCCTCTGGCACTTGTTTACTATTCTACACTTTTTTCTATCCTGGTCAGAAGTGATTATTAAATAGAGTCCACTCCGCCATCTTGAATCAGAAGCTCCGTGGAATATAAAGATTTTCTTCTAGGCTTCAGGGCTCCTTATGCTCATGATAGAGTCTATATACACTTATTTAGTAGATCTTCCAATGAAAGGAATATTCTTTAATTTTCAATTAAAGAAAAAAATTCCATCACAGTATTAAAAAGATGTTAGTCATTGTCTCTAGTTATGAAAATCAACTTGAAAAAACACACCAAAAAATAGCATTACTTTACCATTTTTCCTTTGCCCAACAATATTTGAGTAAATTAATAAATGAGCAGCTGCACATACAAACACACTGAATCAGAGAATTCTGAAGGAAAAGGATCACTGCAATCATTTTACAGATGAGGTTATGAAACACATGGGGTGGTAAACCGCTCAAGCTATAGACTCCTGCATAGCTAGCAAGAGCCAACAATGGGATGAGACTCAAATATGCCCTTTTCAGGTCCTCCTAGGAAAACAAAAGAAGTCGATTCAGCATTTGTGTTTATTATATTAATAGGACTGTCATCAGGCGTTTGTAGCAAAAATCAACCTAATGAGGTTATTATGACTATATTTTTCTATTGTTTTGATTCTCTTAAGGAAGGAAAGCCTATCAAACTTTAATGTCAGCCCTGCAACGTATGGTTTTGAAGCTAAAAGTAATTACACTCCACAGTTACTTTGTGTGAGACCCCAAAGTCCTAGACACATTACCTCTTTGTTACATTCAGTGGCAAATGGCACTTGGCATACCTGACTACTTACAGTGGGAGTGTGAGATAATTGTTTGGGAACCTAGAACTGCTTGTTTAAAGGTTGGGGACTCAATATAATTACAGAGCTAGAAACCAGCTTGGTTTAATCATGGGAAATCTCATGCAATGCATTGTTAGTCCTCAGATGGCTTCTCAGTCAAATTCTCCATTACTTTCCTGAATTCCCTGGAATTCTCCTGCTCTGTTTATGACAGAAAGGTTTCTGTCCTAAGGAACATGAACTAACAAGGAATGGAGGATCTCTATGCTGGAACAAGGCTGAAAGAAGCGGAACATTTTAACCAAAGTAATGATGCTTCCTCTGTCTTTGTCACAAACATTCCAGCAGAAATGTTTCTGTTAGTACAGACCATGGATTCCAGGAAGCTGTATTTTTCCTAAATGTGCATCATTAGGATCGAGTGTGTTACTTGTTTAGGAGGGGAAGAAGAGAGTTGGAAGGGAAAAAAATCCAAAGACAAAAGTGCTTGTTTTAGAGGACCTGTATCTGAGAGTCATTTTCATGTCTAATGGGAGACCCAGTTTCTGAATCTCTAGATATCCATTATCTTCTTGACTTAGCTATGCAATTATTTTAAAAGATGGCATTTTAAACATTGTTAATGATCACTTCAAACCCTGGGTTTTTTTTTTTGTTTTAATTTTGGTATAAACAATCACCCAGACCAGATCCTTGTGGATTTATGATGAGAAACGTTCACCTCAAATTTTGAAATGCACAGAAGAAAAAGTCACTGCCAAGGACCAACTGGCCAACAGAAGCACTAAGAAGAAATATCCTTTCTCCCACCATGCTACTCTGCAACCTTCTTCACATTTATATACACCAGAGGAGAATTCACCTACGAGCCATCGTGGGAAAAATAAACGATCAACCGGCAAATGGAAGATGGACAAGAGGAAAAGGAGTAAAGAGACTGCTTGCAGTCCCATGACCTGAATGGAAGCAGATCCCATCTCAAGCGGGAAGCTGTGCCACGGAAGATACGAGAACCACCAACTAAACCACACTGATGTTCCCGGGTGTCCTGACCTACCAGAAAGCTCTTGGTCCATTCCCTCTGGTGACAGCACTGGATAAATACTATTTGATATCTGTGTCCTGGGTATTGGTCACTGAGGAAGAAGTTCAGGGAGCAGACTACTAGAAACCATTAAAGTTCATTCAAAAATTGTTTTTT